AGTGAAAAAAAGATCTCGGTGTATCTACTAAGAAAAGGGTAAAATTACCAAGAATTCAAGGTTCTATTTGATCCCAGTTTTTTCTTGGTAAAATTACCATTTATTGAATTGGTAATTTTACCGAGAAATCTCGGTAAAATTATTGACTGTCTCGGTAATTTTACTGGACCCCGGTAAAAACGCCAATATTTTTTAACGACTGTGGTAGAATTACCGAGATAAAATGGCACAGCTACCGGGAATTGATTACCAATAAAAGTGGTATTCTTACCTGAGAAAGACAGTAAAAATACGGGTTTTTAAGTAAGCTTACCAGACAGACTGTCTTGGTAAAATTACCAATGATTGGTAAAAAAAGTGAGATGGTGAAGGTACCAACGGACCTTGGTAAAAACGCCGAGAATTTTTTTTCAGAGGAGAGTACCGACCAACGATCTAAAAACTATAGATAGAGGGATCATATGCTACGCAAACAGTGAAATTCGTAACACACCAGGAGCAAAAATTAGGTCGGGGCGAAGATAGTCAGTTTTTATGGCTTCTTATAGGGTTGTTGCTGAATACGAACTTATATCAAATTCAGAACCAACTGTTCGAAAATCTGTGTCCAGATATTGGAACTTTACCCATTCATCAAGTGCGTTTACGATAAAAATGTCAACGCTAAATCATTTATTCTAAAAACTCTCGTAAGATATCATGTACATGAGGTTATGACGAAGATAGCAATCGGCCATTTCCACACCCCGCCGGCCTATCGAACGACGGGCTCCATGTGTGTTACGTTTTTTCGAAGGCAACCACCAATCTATAGTTTCCATGTCGTTGGTACCAACCGGTGCCGGAAATACTGCCGTGTTAGCGAAAAGAGCAGTAAGTGTCAAATTTTAGAAATCGAGTTTCCTTCAAAATTCGTCTAATCTTTTATAGATGAAATCACTGAAATAGCTAAAACGGTAAAATTCATCTTGATTGTATCAAAATGAGACATGTGAGAAAACCGCAAATGTGCAAAAAATGACGTAGTTTCAGGGAAGACAGCAGTAAGTGACAATATTCCTCTAGAGAGCCAATGGAAACAGTGCTTTCAAGTAAGTGCCGCCCTCTTCTGCCAATTTCTAACCTGAAAATATGTTTTTCACATTTTCGAAATCGAGCTTCCTTCAAAGGAATGGGAGCTTCCTTCGTCTTTCAGGTGAATTGCTGAAACAGCGAAATTTATCTTCATTGTCTCAAAACGAGACATATGAGGAAGCTGTAATTGCGCAAAAAATGATGTATATAGTTTCAGGCAAGACAGCAGTAAGCGACATTATTCCTCCAGAGAGCCGATGAAAACAGTGCTTGCAAGTAAAGTGCCGCCCTCTTCTGCCAATTTCTAACCTGAAAATGTGTATGTCGTGTGTTCAAAACGCAACCACGAAAGCATGCAGGAGATAGCACTAACGGCTGTCTTGCCTAACAATAACCTGGCATGAATCACTGAGGAAAAATAGGTACCTAACGCATTGGCGGCTGGACATTTCTTTAGCGAGCCGTGCCGTTAGTCTGTCGAGTGTTGTTAAGTTGTGAATATTTAGTCTCTGACTATGCACTGTGTAAGATTTGAACAAAAAAATGGGTCGAAAAATTAAACAGAGGACATTTTTCATCGGTCACGAGACAGATATGCTTTTAGTCTTGAGAGAACGTCACAATCTCGAGTCTATGTCCTGTGTCTTACAAAACCATTAATCTTCGTTGTTTCATTTTTTATTCGGATTTTCTGGCGACTCGCATATCGGAAAGCTAGCTTGTCCTCGGAAAGGAGATCCCTGTTCCAAAACCCATCTCCTTCGAGTTACTGAACGCAGTTGAATGAGCCTGTTGCAAAAAGGATTAAAGTAAGACAAAGATTTGTTAGCGACAAGCGACAAGTTATTGCTCAAAAAATTGCAATGAGTGCATGGCAAAGTCGAAAAAGTGCCCATCAGTTCACCAGTTATGTACGAAAATTGAGTGTTTCTGAAGTTTTTGTACACACAGCAGCAAAACGTTATTTATACAAGACCCTATAGACTCATGACTCCAACAAGAGGACAAAATGATCATCATACATCATCCATCAAAAGGAAAGTCGATTAAAGCAAATAAAGAAACCCGCTTAGTTAAAAAAGACATCTGCCTGGCTGCAAATTTATGCCATGTTTACCTTTTTCTCAGTGTGTTATGAAATTTGAGATGATTTCAGATTTTGGATCAAGAGGAGACTTCTGATATTTGAAAGGAATTTATTTTTGATAAACTCCGGCGTTCGGGAATTTTAGGGTCATTTCAGGATTGTTTTCCAGATGCATGTTCGGTAACATTCGAATTCTTATTGTTATATTAGTGTATTTCTATTTTTAATTCTATTCTATTAATTTGAATATCTAAATATTTCATTGAAGTCAGTTCTCATTTCCTCTCAGCAGCAGTTATACAATATACACCCATTTCCAACATGTTGTTTACTCCAAACCGCAGTTGGTCATCCTTGACCGGCTGTCGCGCATTCATAAAGCACGACCCTAAAAACCCACGCACTCTTTTGACATCACGATTTTGACATTCGGTTGACGAAACTATATCGGTCATATTCGGTCATTAACACCTCAAACGTGGAGTGGACCGTGTAGTCTGCGAATACGCAGAGGTGGAGAGGTATAAAAAGTAATGGATCCGCGATCCACAAAAACAGCGAGAACACTTTTTATCGCTCATTTCAGCAGCGCCGCAAAAACCTTCGTAAAAAATTGGCTTCTTGAAATAACGCCCGGAAGAGAAATTTCCGTCTCATATCTGGGTCAGTTAAGCATGTCATGGATTCTTATTATGATGATTCAGTGTCGGATGACCCTCCGAGGTCGTACATAGAAAAAAAGTTCAGTTGTACGTATACCAAAGTTCAGTCCACGTGGAACACAGTATAGTTCGGTTAGCATAACCGAATATTCAAGCCTTATAGCTCGATCAATGATAGAGTTGTTGCATGTGTGAGGAATTTGCGATTTGACTGTTGCTTCTTATGTAAAAGTTCGCGAGAAACACGATGGAGCCACTGATTTTCTCTGAAATCAACTCCCAAGCTAAACAAAAGCTCTCAGGTTGAGTCCAAAATGAAGGGGATATCCCACGCTACCCTGAGAATCCACCTCTACATCAATACAAACTCTCTATGCAAAGATAGGGAGCAAATACATTAGCAGGGTTGCCGTGTTTTCAGTTTTGGAGTCCCCAAATAAAATGGCAGCCCTGTCAATGTATTTGCTCCCTATCTTTGCATGGAGAGTTTGTATTGGTGTAGAGATGGACTCTCAGGATAGCGTGGGATATCCCCTCCATTTTGGCCTCAACTTGAGAGCTTTTTCTGAGCTTGGGAGTTGATTTCAGTGAAAACCAGTGGCACCATCGTGTTTCTCGCGAACTTTAACATAAGAATCTTCAGTCAAATCGCAAATTTCTCACACATGCAACATCTCCATTAGAAATTGCCCGAATTTCCCCTGGTCTAACTACGACTTGCCCGGGGAAATGTGGCATGGATTTTGCGATTTAAATCCTCACACATGCAACATCTCCATTCTAGGTGCATTCCTTTCCAGAGCGTATACATTTCTGTTGTTATACTTGAATCCGAGGTGGCATCCACCCCGTTTAGGATATACTACTTTTGCGGTGTTTTACCATTGGCGATTTTGCAAGTTTTTCTTGTCCCTGAAATGTTCAAGAGAATAAATAGGTTTCCTAAGAATGAACATTTTAATGAGATATTTAGCAGGCTAAATTACAAGAACTGCATTTTTCTTGAGTAATGCGACTCCGAGGATAAGGATAATACTCGATCCGCGCACCATCATTGCGCGCACAGTCTTCGTCGGGTTTCGCAACGGCGCACAGTAAAGAGAGTCAATACGAGAGATCGGATAAGATGGGAAAAAATTCAAAGCGAACATCTTCGTTAGTACAAAAAGTAGAAGTTAGAGGGTGGCTCCAATCGTTTTCTCGTAAACTTTTCCGAAAGAGGCGCCCTTCTAAATGTATAGTGTGACGAAATAAGCATCAAAATTTGAGATTTTAGTCAACGAGATATCTCACGTCTGACCTAGAGTCCCTTTATACTGAGAGTCAAGACAACACCACTTCATGAAGTCACAAATGGGAATAAAGATTACAGAAATTGAAAGTTTTTTTGTAATCTTTGATCGGCCCATTCTCAAATTCCTTTCTCCGTTGCTTCTCTCATTCCGTTTGTTCTTTGCCGAACCCGTAATTCCCTGGTCCATTCCAGATTATAATCTTTGCAATCGGGGAAAATGTAATCTTTATTCCCGTTTGTGACACTATAGGCCTATAATACGGGGACCAATCAGAAATGGATTCATATTATCTTGACTCTCAGTATAGAGGGAATCTAGTCTGACCTACACCGAGGGGCCGTTCCACTGTGCTCCGCGCAAATGCTGAGCCCTGCGGTCATAGGTCAGTAATGTGCGTCTCACCCACTCCGTGATCCTCTCCGCGTCGCCATCGCTGCATCGAAGTCCCTAATGCGCAAAACACGCCTTTGCGGAGGCTGCTCTTGTTCGCGGGTCTTTACGTCACGGTTCGCGACGCCGCCGGAAGTCGCCGTAAGGTTCAACTCTGTTTACCAACAAACCGAGATACTGTTACCTGTTTCACGGTGGCGCCCAGCGCGGGACAAGAACGCGCCGGGCCGCGCTGCGCAGCCGCGGAGCGCTCGACAGTACCGCGCAGCCGCAGAGCACCCGGCTGGACGGCGCAGTCGCAGAACGCCCGGCCGCACTGCGCAGCCGCAGGCCCTTGGACGGCGGACTGACCGCTAGCCGCTAGCTGCAGGTTCACCGTTGCGCGGGCCGAACGGCCTTTCAAGGACGTGCGCGAGATGGGATGCAGGTCGCGCGACACTGCGCCGACTCCGGACCAAGTACCAATTGGCTCAGTTCTCGATTAACCTCTCGCGGCTCGCCACCGTCTAGACGCGACGCGACGTGCACTCTGGCTCGTAAACGTGCGTGACTCACATTCTTGTCGCACGCGCACCTAACACCTCCTTAATTGCTGTTTTTTATCTCCATCAGTGAAAGGCTTGGTTTCGAGTGGCACTCATTAAGTTTTCGTAAAACGGTGTTGTGCTGATTTCCGGTCCTTGGGAAAAATAATACTGTTTTCCAAAAACGTTAGAGTCAAAGGCTCCAGCTTTTTGACCTGTAAGTGACAATTTTCACTGGAATCAAATTTTTCCGCACCAGTAGAAGCTGTTGCCAAATTTAAGGAGGCATCCATCAAAGCTACGAACGAATTCCGTCTAATGTCCATTTACCGGGAACGAACAGCTGTCTTTCAAAAAATTATCCTCTTTTGAATGGATATAAACACATTTCAAACAATTTTCTTTCGTTGAAAATTTTCTCCCGATGGACAAATCTTCTGAGGTCTAGACTGCATGGTATCTATGCGTACGGATGACAATCTTTCGATTTTTCACTTTTGCTGTGCGCCCAGGAAATTTTTGCCCTTCAAAACGAATGCTGCATAATCAAGAGAGAATCAATTTCCGGGATATAATTGCATGTACGTGAATGGCAAGGACAAATTCGTTGTCCGAAAAACAAATGGTCCACTCGGTTCATCTTCGTTGTTGTGATTAATACAGGCCAAACAATTTTTTCAATGTCAAGAAAAAGGAAAAAAGGGTGAATTTGTAGTGACTGGTTGCGTGCAGCGCGACCCAACCGGATGAACATTCGAAATGCAGCTTGATGCTTCGAATCGGATATGGAAATAATCCTGTAGCGTAATGAAAAGTGATTGATTAGAAAGAAAAGCCACAGTGACGTCTGATGAATGCTGTGAAAGTGCCTCAGCGGTGAACTAAAGTGAATTACCGAGTCGGTGGAATAAATAAGGGACCAGTGCTTTTGCCAGTAGATTTCGTGATCTCAATAATTATAATTTTAACCATAGGTATTTCGTCAGAATTTATCTTGCCACACTATCTTCGGCCATAACATTGTGCTGATAAAAAATTTTATTTTTCAGTTGCGAATATTTTTACAAGCTTGTTTTAATCTATGTATTGTTCGAATTATCGATTGTTCGATCTCAGTGCAATTACGTGTACGCGAGAAGTTACGATCCGTGAAAGTCAGTGCGGTGAGGATTCACCTCCGTCAATCTAAACCGATGAGAAAACCTTCAAAGACATGTTGACCATTCACCTGATCGTCCCCGTGGCAATTGTCATAGTGTCCTGCGCGCGGACTTCCAACGCCCAGGCCTACACGATATTCCAATCGGTGCTCCGCTACTACAGGGAGGGCCTCAACATCCCGGCGAACGCCGTCAAAGAGACTTCTCGGATCGAGAAGGAGTACGACTTCATCGTCGTGGGAGCAGGGTCAGGCGGGTCGGTGGTGGCCAATCGACTCACAGAAAACCCCGCATGGACGGTCCTCCTCCTGGAAGCGGGCAAGGAAGAAATCTTCCTGACCGATATCCCTCTCCTCGTCAGCTACATCATCGACACGGACTATAACTGGGGATACAGGACGCAACCCTCGAAATCCTTTTGCCTCGGCATGCAAGGTAATCGCTGCAACTGGCCGCGAGGCAAGGCGATGGGCGGAACCAGCGTCATCAACTACATGGTCTACACCCGAGGCTGCAAAGCTGATTACGATAATTGGGCAGCACTCGGTAACACCGGTTGGAGTTACGACGATGTTCTTCCCTACTTCAAGAAGTCCGAAGACGTCGGCGACCCGGAGCTCATTGGTTCCCCGTATCACGGCTCGGGTGGTTATCTGCGGGTCTCCAAGCCGGCGTGGAACACCCACCTCTCGAAGACGTTCCTGAAGGCCGGCCAGGAGCTGGGCTACGACATCGTGGACTACAACGAGCCGGTGCCCATCGGGTTCTCCACGGCCTTCGCGACGACCAAAGACGGCGCCCGGCTCAGCGCCTCCAAGGCCTTCCTTCGACCCATCCGCAACCGGAAGAACTTCCACGTCGTCAAGCAGGCCCGCGTAACACGGGTCCTCATCAACGAACAGACGAGGCAAACCTTCGGCGTGGAGTTCTTGAAGAACCGACGGACGTTCGCCGTGAAGGCTCGGAAGGAGGTCATCATCTCGGCGGGGACCTTGAACTCCCCGCAGATATTGATGCTATCCGGGATAGGGCCGCGGGACCACCTGCAGGAGCTGGGGATCCCCGTGCTGGAGGACCTGAAGGTGGGCCACAACCTGCAGGATCACGTGTCCATGGCCGGGCTGGCGTTCTTAGTCAACGACTCCGTGACGATCGTCGAGGACCGGTTTCGTAGCCCGCGGTTCATGGTGGACTACCTGGTGCGCGGCAAGGGGCCGTACACGCTACCCGGTGGTGCGGAGGCTGTCGCCTTCACGCTGACCAAGTACGCTAACGACAGCTCCCAACCGGACATGGAGCTCGTGTTCGGGCCGGGCGCCTTGACCGGGGATACCGGTGGGTCCCTCCGGAATATGTTCAAGTTCAAGAGAGGGGTCTACGAGCGCGTCTTCAAACCGTACGAGGGTCACGACGCGTGGGGTTTGGTGCCGATCCTTCTTCAGCCGCACAGCCGGGGCTACATGAAGCTCCGCTCGAAGAATCCGCTTCACTGGCCGCTCTTCTATCCCAACTACTTCAGTGACGAGCGGGACCTTAAGACCATGGTGGAGGGAATCAAACAGGTAGGAGTTTATTCAGTATTTAGGTAAGTCTTCTTTATAAATGTAAAGCCTGAAGCTAGCTGGATGTAGAGTAAACTATATAGGGAGAGTATGGACAGCTCGAATTATGTAGCTCTTAGGGCCCAAAAGTGTAGGTAACCTTTGAAAACGAAAAATTTCACTGTCAATCTTTAGACTCTAATATCAAACGAAAATGGACAAGAAAATTCATACGTAAGTATCTTCCGCAAAAATGAGTAAGTCTATGCAAAAACCAAGTCAAATACGTGCTTTACCAACGACAGTTCCCAACAATTGTGATTATAAATCACTCTGGATAATTTGAATTCATAAGTTGCCTACCTTTTTGGGGTCTAAGAGCTCCATCTCCTAACCTCAAAATTTCCGACATGTCCAATTGTTCATACTCTCCCTATATAGGTACTCTAGATCCACCTATGTATGAGCTTTAAAAACGTGTAATTTCACTTTCGATCTCTGACGACAGGCGAAAGCATCTTACTTTCCTTGGGGAGGGTGTTGTGTTGCTACCGCGGATTTTTTTCGTTCAATCGCGGGTTGGATCGGATTCCGATCCCGACATTGAGAGTCCCGCAAGAGTGAGAGCAGGGGGGGAGGAGGGGTGGTCTACGGGAGAGGCGGGCAGATGGACGTTGCGAAATAAACCGCCGCTGGTTCGACAACAAGTGAATCATGCTCCGGTTTCATCTCTTGCTTTTCCTTAAACGTGTTCAACTGTTCACTGATGGAATCGGATTCGAACGGGATGTTGGTGCATTTGAATCGAGAGTTCGAGAATTTGCGCTCCAGTTCGCATCCTTGCCGCCACTGTCGGATTGGGCGGGGAAATTTGACTCGTTGCCGAGTTCGACATTATCAAAAGAGGGAATAATTACGATGAATCTATGGCAAGAGGAATCAGACATTTTTGCTTTAAAAAACTTGTTTTATTTTAAAGTTTTGGAGAAGACGGATCCACTACACTTAAAAACACACTTCAGCGGTTTCCTCTGAAAGAATCTATTTCGTGAACCCCTAAAATATCTAAAATTAAACGTATATCGACGGTGCAAGTCGGCAATCACATAACTCGTTTGCGGTGTCTGAAAATCTCCGCAACTATGTTATTTTTTCAAAGGAGAACAAATAGACATGATTCCTTGAAGTTTTTGCAGAATTTTCCTCGCACATAGAAGAAAAATCACGGAAGTTTTAAAGAATTACCGTTGAGTAGTTTTCCGTTTAAAAAATAAAGTATGACAGGAAGTCTGCGACGTCGCAAACCGAGTTATGTGATTGCAGACTTTCACCGTCGATATATGGATAGAGTTAAACAGAAAGGAACCAAGCCACATCGGGATCGAACGGAAAAAAAAAGGTTTAAAGTTTGGCTCCTGCATAAGACTCAATGTAAAAGATAAACTTCAAGTTCAATTTCTGCAAAATTTCCGCCAACAAAAACTTTAAATTTTTGGCGATAGATAGTAGACCAGAGGTTGGGTTCAAAACCACTCATAACTCAATTTTTTTCAAATTGTGGGTTGGTTCCTTTCTGCTTAACTCAGTCCATATAATAATGCATTTGAAAACCTCAAATGGAATGCTAAATTTTCGAGTTCACTCATTTTCAGCAATTAAAGTTTGACAAACGAGGTTCTTCGGGAACGAAGAGTTGACATGTGCTCCTAGGCACAATAAATATGTTTTCTGCCACCATAAAATGAATTTGTTTAGCAATTTGTTTAAAATAAATCGATAACTGCAAATTTGCTTACGCCTGCTATGGATTTGTTTTAACTCGAAATGTTACACTTTAAAAGTGTTTGGATCACTCAATCCGCCTTTTTTTCGTCTTCCAATTTCGCCTCTATTCATTCGCCCCACGCACATACAAAAAAGCAGGGTAAAAACTGTTTTTAAAAAAGTTGATGCGACCGACATCCCGGAGAAATTATACGAAAAAGTACCAGATCAATAACGTGATAGTTGATTATTACCTCGGTGCGCTTTTATTCAATTTAATTTTTTTTTTAAAAAAAAAAAAAAAAATGCAAAAATATGGATTTTAACTGGAAAAAAAAGCATTGTAGATTTTGATACACTCCAATGATGACAAGGTTTTTTGCGTTACTACTATATTTTCCACGCGCAGCGACAGTGTTGTTGATGCGTTCGGCTGGCAATATATCACTACCGTGCTAAATCTTCACCTTTATGCCAAATTATCACAAGCGCCATGCGACGTTTCAAAATTTCCACCGTCATTTTATTTTTTTGCAGATAAATTTTTCAACAAAGCTGTCCGAAAATTTCACCGAATTTTCCTTGCGGCGCCGATAAAATTCAGTGAAATTTTCAACCAGAGAATTTTTCAACCAAGAATTTCTCCGTAAAAAAAAAAGAAAAAAAATGGTGGCGGAAATTTTGAAACGTCGGATGGCACTTGTAATACTTTGGCCTTAAGGTGACGATTTCACCAATTTTTTCTTCGGGGCTGAATAAATCCTGAAAAGAAAGCAAAAAGACGAGCTGTTGTCTAGAAAATAAAGTTAGGTTGTAGATTTTGAAACGCCTCGATCAAGATACAAAGTTTTTCAGTTTCCCAGTATATTTTCCGCAGACAGCGACAGCGCTGTTGAGCCGTCACACAGTGGATCAAGTCAGTTAGAGAGGGCGGGCAGGAAACTTTGGACTGCAAATTTTGACGTTTATTTCATCACATTTTAAATTTCAAGGGGTGCCTTCAAAAGACAATTTTACGAGGAAACCAATTACCACTTTCAGAACCTCGAAATGTCATATAAATGGAGTTATGGGCTTTTAAATTTTCCATATTTTGCCCGATCTCTCCTATCGACTCGATCCACTGTGCGTCAGCCGGCAATAAATTACAGCGCAGATTACATCTCGAACATGAATTCGGGTACCAAGCTCGGATGCGTCTCGCAAACGCTGTCGTGCTAAAAAAAACGCCATACGGACATTCGGGGGTTGCCAAATTTCCTCCGATACATATTTATTTTTGAGGAAAGTTACGAATATTTTTCCTTGAAATTTTCAGAAACTTTAGATACAATGGAGATGTTGCATGTGAGAGGAATTTGCGATTTGACTGTTGATTCTTATGTAAAAGTTTGCGAGAAACACGATGGTGCCACTAATTTTCTCAGAAATCATCTCCCAAGCTAAAAAACAACTCTCAAGTTTAGGCCAAAATGGAGGGGATATCCCACGCTATCCTGAGAGTCCACCTCTACATCAAAACAAACTATCCATGCATAGATAGGGAGCAAATACATTGACAGGGCTGCCACCTCATTTGGGGACTCTAAGACTGAAAATACGGCAACCCTGCTGATGTATTTGCTCCCTATCTTTGCATGGAGAGTTTGTTTTGAGGTAGAGGTGGACTCTCGGGGTAGGGTGGGGTATCCCCTTCATTTTGGCCTCAACTTGAGAGCTTTTTTTGAGCTTGGGAGTTGATTTTAGAGAAAACCAGTGGCACCATCGTGTTTCTCGCGAACTTTTACATAAGAATCAACAGTCAAATCGCAAATTCCTCACACATGCAACATCTCCATTGGAGGAAAATCTGGATGGGTTTACCAGAAAATGAATGTTTTATAAAAGGAAATTTGGCAACGCCCGAAGGTTCATACGGCGTTTTTCCTCAGCACGGCAGAACGCAACGCGCATTTTCCGCTGGGGTGATCGCGGAGCGAGCGATGACGCAGTGCCCGAGGAAAACGGAACTTACGAGAGAAGTACGAGCCGTGCCATCGCGATAAAAATAGGGGTCATTCCACCAATCGATCCTTCATCTTCCCATGACGTCTCCTATGAACACCCTCGAGTGTCCTACCGAAAAATTCGTCGTTCCTCCGGTGTAAGGGCGTATCTCGATCTTCACATGATCCCCAGAAAGCACGGATAAGTATGTAAAACAGGGCTCACGTGGAAATTGACGTCAGTCCTTACGTCGGAGCTGCCGTGCTAAGGAAGAACACAGTATGAACACTCGAGAGTTGACACATGTTTCAGCAGTTTTCAACAGTTTCAGCAAGCCTCTCAATCGAGCACTGTTCATTTCCCACCATGCGTTGTTCAAACTATAAACAATTTGCTATAGCTGAGCCTAAGCGTCAAGATTGAGGTTGCCAGATTTTTATATCGCTGAGACGTTTATGATAACGTTTAGCGCGCGATGTGATTCACGTAGAGCATTGAGTTTTCATGAGCGGGTGGTTTCAATTCACGCATCAAGAATCATTAAATATCTTCGTAAGGAGTTAATTTCGGTAATTTTTGCTGTGCGTATCGTGTTCTACGTGAAATTTTGGTTAGGAAACATGTATCAGAATGCTGAAATTCGTACCTTGTCTAGTGGTCCATTACTAACCAATACGTCATCATGACGTCAGGAGCAAACGTAAACAATAACTGCAGTCATAGTCCCAGCGCCTGGCCAACATTCTAAACCCTTGATTGGCAGATTTATTCCGCAGCCATCTTGAAAAATGGGGCGCATTCATTTTTCCCTCCTCAATATCAAAAGGAGTATTTAAGTTTTATTTGAAAATTTTGTTTCATGGATATATTTACGGTTAAACTAAGCTGTACATCGAAAAAGTAACTTTGTAGAGTATATTTGTGCACACAGAAAAGAAAATGACAAAAAAGCAGCTAAAATATAGCCCCTCCGTCCAAAATACAAACCTCGATTTTCTCTGTTCCTTGAAATGTAGGTCTGAAACATTGAAGAGGCGTGAATGATAGACTATCGATAATTTTCCATTTGAAGTCATGGTAAAGAATCGATTATTAGGGCGTTCGCTGCGAACATCCTGTTTATCGATCCTTTTCCGTAGGTTTAAATTGCAGATCAATCGATATATCGCAAAGCACGCCACGCCACTGGTCTGAAAGAATGAAATGAGAGCACTGTGCCAGTCTCTCTTCGTGTTGGAAACGCATCGTTTTTCAAAAGGCGGTTCGCAGCG